GTACAATCTGGTAGCACTCTCTGTAAAGAGAGCCACATGTTTTTAATAGAGCATGTAAATGCACTGTAAGCTGCCTATGGGTCCTCCTCAACAGCATTTTAGCAACTAAGAGCAGCTGATCTATAAGTGTGGTTTAACTTGATACTTGTCCCCTAACACAATACTCAAAACTGGGTTCATCTCCAACAAAACCTCATAAGAAATGATGACCAGATATTATCTTGATACCAGTACTGTCAAATACATCATGGGCTTCAGACATGAAGTTATTATTATTATTATTATAAAACTGCATGATATTCTTGAACAATAATTAGAGTCCAATAGTCCAGTCCACTAGATACCCTAATTTAACATGTGGGGTATACCATATCGTTTTGTAGCATTAGTCATAGTTTATACTGAGTGTTTTAATATTGGCTGTAACATGTTGATGTTAGAGCGGGAGCAAGGAGGGAAGAGAGAGGTACTGGAAATAGTTGTGAATCTCTTGTGATTTGAATTCCATTCCTATATTCCCTCCATATTACCATCATTGCCATTGTGTGGCTCAGTTTTGTCACAAATGGTACCCCATATGTAGCCTTATGACTTCACACCAATATCAGATAGTGTGACAGTTCACTTAAAATGTTCCCTATGAAAGCCTTGTAGTGGAGCTTGTTTGTGATTGTAATATAATTATGTTCATGAAGTTTAATTTCATGTAAATATTTACTCTTTTGTAATTACCTTTCCAATTATTTATTGATCAACAGAGAATCTCTGTTTTTATCTTCAGTTTCACTATTATCATTTGCTTCAACTGAGCAGTCTAGTTATTGGAACTGATGTTGTTATTGGTATACTTTTTCATATGTATAAATAAAGCTTTGCTAAAGTTAAGCTTACAGTTTAGATTGAGCCATGGATGCCACTTTTCTTATTATTCTGACTCTTATTCGTTTGGCTTCATCTCGTGTTTGTATTAATAGTGATACGGGAAAGGATGATGTTAGCTGTCTCAGTGGTTCCTGGTGTTGTAAGTCACTTGAGTATTTTTCCAGTATAATTGTTGATAATTGTAGTAATTTATCGGTTAGTATTGATAGCTCAAATCTTTACCTCACTGAAGTTATCAATTTTACTAACTGCAATATTTCGATTTTTGGAAAGGGAATGGACAGCACAAAGATACAGTGCATAGGAAACAGTACTGAGTCTTCGTCTGGTTTTCTCTTTAGAAATAATTGGTCCATTTGCCTTTTCAATGTATCGATTGATGGTTGTGCTTTTAAGCTTCATGCTGATAAACAAGCTGTTGCTATGTACATGTCTCATGACGTTAAGATTATCAGTGTATTAATTATCAACAGTGATGGTATTGGTTTGAGTCTGGAGAACACCAGCAGTGTTTTAATTCAAAACTCATCATTTATCAATAATGTTATGAAGAATGCTAGTACAACTGGAGGAGGTGGTATCAGTATATACCTACACCATTACAAAAGTTATTTCTCTGGTTTGCAGCAGCATAGGTTTAACATATCGATTATCAATTGCAATTTTTTTTCAAATTCTGCTGATAACACATGTAGTTACAAATATAATAAGGCGCATCTGTATGGTGGTGCACTGTATATCGCTTTAAGTCATGTGACAAACTTTTTAGTTCTTTTGAAAGATTGCAATTTTACTAACAATATTGCACTATCTGGGGGTGCTTTGTTTATTCATGTAGAATATGCACAGTCTAACCATGTAATTTTAAGTAACTTGCTATTTGCTTTGAATAAAGCACCATGTTTTGATGGTGGTGCTTTAAATATTGTTTTTGGTAGCAAGTACATAAATCAACCTGGTAACAATGTATTTTCTGTTGAACATAATGTTTTTATGAGCAACGAAGCTCATGTTGGTGGAGCTGTAGCATTGCTAATCCCTAGAGATTCTCTTAAGTTTGTTAATGATACAGTATATGACAAAATTACTTTTATTAACAATAAATTTATAAAAAATTCAGCACCTGCCAGTGCTGCTATTGATATTAATCGTTATTCTCTCCGGACAAGTCGAGATATTTTCATGATTCATATTAGTTTTAACAATTGCACTTTTTATGGTAATTTTGTAGTCAGAAAGAAGACTAGTCACATTGATAGGGGTGTCGTTTTCAGTGCTGGTATTAGTATTTCTTTTAGTAATACAAATTACTTCCAAAACAATTATGGCTCTGCTCTGTGCATTGCTGGAGCAACTGTCATCTTTTGGCCTCATTCATTGACATCCTTCATAAATAATACTGGACGCCATGGTGGAGCTATGCTATTGTTAGAAAAGTCTACACTCAATGTCAATCACTCAACACTTTTGTTTTATGGCAATACAGCATATCTTGGGGGTGCAATATGTGTCATACCAACTCACACTGACATTCTTTTTGAAATAGGTGAGTGTGTTTTTTGGCGCTACAACAACCTTACCTTAAATTATAATGAAAATGTTAGTAATTATTCTTTTAGTGAAAACACTGCTCTCTCAGGAATCGGCAATGACATTTTTATAACTTCTTTAAAATCTTGTTCCAAACTCTTTCACGCTTATAGGACCTCTTCCCTGTTTTTAGAAAGGTACATGGGTAGTTTTCAGTTTAGTTCCTCCTTTAATGAATCAGTTGCTACTGCCCCATATGTATTGCAGTTATGGGAAAACTCAACAATAATTCATCTTTTCCCTGGAATATCTTTTCAGATGAGTGTCTTGCAACTTGATGAGTTTAATAAAACTGTTGGTACTTATTTTCCTTTATCAGCTAAAGTTAAAGGTAAACATAAATCTGTTATATTCTACTCTGACAATGACACTTACTGTATAGTGCTTCATGGTCAACCAGGAGCCAATGATTCAGTCATCATTGAAAGTACTGATTTTTCTAATGTTTTCTTGAAAATTTTTGTGAAGTTTTTGAAATGTCCACCAGGTTATTATTTTGAAAACTACACCTGTTTTTGTGGCAGTCGATATTATCAGGGTATAGCATATTGTGTCCATAATGCATCAGCATCTATAATATCTGGTCAGTGGGCTGGATATATAAATGATACATTTGTTACTGCATTTTGCTCAATTTACTTATGCAGCTACCCTCACTCTGTCTCTTTATATAGTATGCACTACCTTCCACTTGAAAGAAAGTTATTGAATGATTTTGTTTGTCATGCACATCGAAGGGGAACACTGTGTGGTCAGTGTGAATCAGGTTTTACTACTTACTATCACTCTCCTAATTATATTTGTGGTAGTGCTAGCAGTTGCCAGTTTGGGGCACTATATTTTATTCTATCTGAGATATTGCCAGTTACTGCTATATTTTTATTCATTGCTTTATTCAACGTTAACCTCTCAGGTGGTGCTTTCTATTCTTTCATATTTTACTCCCAAATATTAAACAACATGTTTGTGAGTGCATATCCTATTGTACCTTTTGGCAAGCCTCTTCGTATCATTATGGACTTTTACAAAGTATTTTTTGGTATTTTTAGTTTGGATATATTAGAACTTAATGTTATTTCTTACTGTTTGACACCTAATGCAACAGTTTTGGATGTACTCTTATTCAAATATTTTACTACCTTTTATGCTTTATGTTTGATCATAACTACTGCTCTTGTTCTCAAGTTTAATTCACTTTACACTTGTGTGAAGCTGTGCCACATGTTTGGAAGAAGGAATGTATACCAGTCAGTGATTAATGGACTCACTGCTTTCCTTATTCTCTGTTATTTTCGATGTTTGGTGATTACGTTTCAGATTCTTTTTCCTGTATTTCTACTTGGGACTAATAGTCAAATTTTGAAAACTGTCCCACTTTATAATGGCAATTTAACTTTTTTGAAAGGTAGTCATCTGAAGTATGCTGTCCCAGCATTGTTAGTATCCATATTCATCATTCTTCCTCCTCCAGTTCTTCTAATAGCTGAACCTCTTCTCATTAAGTTAAGTGGTAGATTTGTTATTCGTAATGATGCATTAAAGTATTTTCTCCAAAAGACTCGATTGAATTTAAAACCTTTCCTTGATTCATTTCAAGGATGTTTTAGGGATGATTGCCGTTGTTTTGCAGGACTATTTTTTCTCTATCGTGTTGCTATGGTTCCTGGAAAGCTGTTACTTAATATTGCTTGGGATAGTAGCATTAACGTTGCTATTCTTCTTCTCATCATTCTACTGCATTCTCTTTATCGGCCCTTTCAAATGCAGAAGCACAATAATATTGACATTTTCCTGCTTATTAATATACTGTTTGTTAATTTTGGTGCTGTTCTTCAGTGTTTCCTTTTCATTCGTGAACCTGAATATGAGTTAAAGGATAATCATATTATCTTCAATGTTATCATTGCTCTTCAAGTTATTCTCATAGCATTGCCACTACTGTCTTTTCTTTTTTATTCTTTATTAAGTATATGCTTGAAGAAAAGAAATGTATCATCTAATTGGGAGAGTTCTAATCTCTTTCCACATCGTTTAACTGAGAATAATAACTATGGATCGATTCAGTGAGAAGTTTTTAAAATACAAGTGTGTCTATTTTCATTCATTTTACATTTCTATTTTATTTGCAGATTTTTGTTTGAGTATTAATTACCTGTCATCCTATACTGCTGAGATTTTTTGAATACTTTAATGTTTGTTTTTTTAATTTTGGTAGTGATAATATTTGGTATGCAAGACTGCTGGCATTGCTTAGTTTAATTCTATTGAGCCAAAATTTCTCAAAGTTGAATATGACAGATGTCATTGTTCTACACTCCTGATGTCAGTGGTTGTTATAGATACTTTTATAAATTTATGGTACTTCACACATGTAACAATATTTATGCTTCTGCAAAAGGATACAGATAATTGATCATAGTTATCCTTAACTCCTCATGCATGAATAAAATTTGAAAAGCTAAAGTCTGTTACATATCAGCATTCGAAATAGCAACACGAGACTTTTCTTGCTTATGCAGCTTACCAGGATCATTATCTATATAATGTATCTAATGTGAATTTTCTGTCATTTGCATCTCCACCTAATCTACATCAGTGTATTATATTGGCTGCCCAATCCAGTGTTAATGTTGCCTGAAATATATCATAGTTTATACGTTGCACCTGTCTTGTGCAATTTTAACCATGATACCCATTGTTCAGGCTACATTGGGCCACTAAGTAATATTCAAAAGTTGATTTACCGTATAAGATGAAATGTTGACGGGGTTTTTATATTGGTGGATTGGCGGATTTATACAAAAACGCCAAAATAAAATCTGCAAGCAATAATTCCATTTATGTGTATACACGCCCAATTACCATGCCCACATTAATTTTACTTAGTCAAAAGCATGGTTAGAAGCTAAAATGGCTTTACTACATTTCTTTAAGCCAGTGTCTAAATTAGGTGAACACAATCTTCCAGAAAAGGTACTGTCCCTCTCTAATAATGAACTTGCGAAGGTGAATGAATCTGTGAAACGTACTTCATCTGAACAAGACACAGAAGTTGAAAAAATGTCAAAATGGCCGAAGTATTAAGATTACACGCCAGAAGAAAGGGCCCAGATTGGTAAATACACGGGCAAGCCTGAAATGCGGATCAAATGCAGATCAGGCTGAAATGCGGATCAACGCGGAATGCTCGCGGATCTGTATCGAAGTACGGATCAACGCCCAAAGTTTATGGATTTGTCTGCAAGAATGATATCTATGCACATATAAGCTCTATTTGAGTCCTTAACAAGCATCATTATTATTCAGTTTCCAGTTTCAATCATGGCTTGCCAGTAGGCTGGCTATAATCACTATGTCAATAATTATTATTAATTTTTGTACATATTCAAGTACATTATAGTATTATGTAATAGTTATAGATCTATAAGCAGATTCAATGTTTCAATAAGACAATATATTAACTTCATGGTAGGATAGTTGTAATTTCTTTTTTATTAAAATATACAGCATCCTCATGTGTTATTCCTTTTAACTTTTCTAAGCATATTACCATTGCCTACGGAAATAATAAAAGAACATAAGTTGAGATATTTGTATTAGAAATATAGTTACCTCTGGCCAAAGCAACTTAACTGCAGTTGCTTTCCTTCTACCCACATCCTTACAGTGTAAACTGGTTAGTTCCTCCAGGTAAAGAAATATTTGTTGTGACTGTAATGTGAGTTTAGGAAAATGAAGATTAAAAAGTAGTAGCACTGAATGACTTACAAGTACATCATCTGTTAAAGGCCATATGATATCTGGTATATGCCTTTTCTTTTGCTCAAATATATTTTCTGTAAAAAATTCACTTGATGAGGGATCCAAAGCAGTTTTAATGAACTTGCCCTATTAATTGAGTTGCCGTATAATTAGAAAATGTATATGAACTAACTTCATGACTCTTAATAGCACTAAATAAATCTTTAACTGGAATGGAGCCAATTCTACATGTATTCATGCTATAAAACTACCATATTAATAATGGATAGAATAACCTGATAGGTGGGTGGGAAGATTTCACAAACTGTTCAGCTACTGAAATATAAGATTCTTTGTGATTAATCCCTGTAATGTCATCATATAAGGTGTCCTTTTGATATTCCGGAACAAGAATTAGCGAGCAGTCACAGTCTACAAACAGTATGCATCAACAGTATGATGAAGATTGTATTTACCATCTTCATCTCCACTTGTGAGTGGTGATAGGGTATATTCAAGATCAGAATCAATTTGATGCATGGAAACCATTTCACTCTCTGCCATATCTGGTGTATGACTTGCTATCTGTATAAAAATAATTCATAGAGAGCATTAATGTGCTGCAATAGAGACACACCTTCAATTCTAGCGGTAACAAATCTGAAAATTCAGTTGTTATCCCAACCCAATCAAAGTTTGAAATTTTCATATCATATATCATCAGCAGAAGAATGAAATAAGGACCGTACATCGTCCAAATAAACAGCGATATCAGATGACAAAGCACCATGTTTACTCAGCCAAAATCTAATGTCTCTAATGACATGATTCCAGCAAGACACATGAAATACTTTAGGCAGCTCAGCTTGTAAAGCATTTGTAATGGCCTTCTCTCTGTCTGTGACAAATGGTGCCTTACTAGTAGAAAGAGATGATACATGAGATTTAATCTCTTGAAACAAAAAGGTATGGGTTTTGTTTTTTTTTCTTTCATGCAACATAAAAATAACCGGAATAACTGGATTATCTTTAAAGATGTTATGGCGAAAAAGGAGTGGTGAAAGATAGAAATCCCCAAGCTGAAATGTGGTGTCATATGACAACAACTGACCACTACCACCTAACAGCAATACTTTATCCATTTCATCAAGGAGTTCTTGCAGTCCAAATATGACAATCAAATCAGGGTAAGTTATAATTTTCCATACGAAACCTGGAATATCATATGCAATTTTATGCACATTATATAATGCATCTTTTGACATTCTTGATTTATGAAGAAAATCATATCTCAAGTTACGAAGCTGCTTCAGGTCCCTTGGAGACTGTGAGGCTACTTTCTCCCTATCACAACGCATAGACGCAACCTCTTTCTTATAAACAACAGCAGGGGTGCTATCTTTTACTAAGTTGTGCAATCTGTTCATAGTTG